TTTCTGATCGAGTAACTCATTTCCTACCAAGTCAAATTTGATGTACGACTTGATGTTCATATTTGTGCTTGTAATTTTAGAATTACTTTAGTTTATTTCTCAGATAGGATTGTGTTGTATTAAAGATATTATGTTATTTAGTTTATTTGAATTTGTATTTTGTTTTCTATTAGAGGTTTAGTAGGGTTAGGGTGCCAGCCATTTGTCCAGGTTTGAGATGTGACAATATTTTTGGTGGGCGACTGTGGCTAGTGATAGTTGGCAGCAATGGCCAACGCCCTGCTAGATCGACATGCCACCACTAGGCAATGTTGGTGGTGGTGGTGGGGGTTTAGTAGATTAGATGACATTGGTGATGGTTGCATGATGGCTAGCTAACAAGGTTTTAGATGATATTCGTGATTGAGAAAATATAATTACACTTTTTAAAACCTAATAATAAAATTTGAGAATTTAGAATCAATAACTTTAGTCACGTGACTTGAGTCATGAGTCAAGTAAATAAATTTTTTAAAATTTTGATTACAAACTAGAGTGCTAACTCTAGACATGGTTCATCCAAACAAAGCCCAATTCAGATGATTTTCCAATCTATTGGTTTATTTAATATAACTTTAGGATATTAGATTATCCATTTAACTAGATTTAATGAATAATTAATGAAAGCACAGTTAACAGAAATAGTTTGTACTATTTTGTAAACTCACAATAAGAAAATGGAAAGTTAATAAAAATTTTATAAGGAAAAAAAAAACTCACTTTTATTTTTACACCCAAACTGCAATAATAATTTGTTAACAGTCATTTTAACCGTCGAATGTCAATTGTGACTGCTATATTTCAAACTATTGTAACTCTCTAATTATGTCATTTGCTATATGAAAAGACAAGATTTTTGCCAGTTTCAATCATTTTCAATGACTTTTGGTGTGCGATTTTATCATAAAAAATTACTGGATATTAATTTAACGGTGAGGATTTTATATGTTATAGAAAAATCAATTTTATATGTTATAGACATACTGAAGAAAACAATAATTAGATGCCAAATTTTAGTACGCAACTACCAACAAGTAATGGTTAAGGTCCAGAAACACACTTATTAAAAAAGTTTTAATTTTTTACACTCTTGGTTTAAAAGGAAAGAAATTAGTTTTGGGTCAAAATTTATATAAACATATCATTAATTTAAAAAAAAACAAAGGAAGTTAGGATGTAACTCTCTTGTATTACGTAAAATACAATCAACATACTTTTTGTACCTCCTCTGACCATAATGAGAATGGTTTTAGGTAGCTCTCAGTTTGGAAATGAGTAACCATTCCTACTTTTCATTTTACCCATTTTTTCAAATAAGTCAGATAGAGTTGGATCAGCTTACATAAATGACCTGACTCTATGTTGCAATATACGTAGATAAGGTTGAGAAATCAATGTGAAAAGACAAAAAGGAACGAAAACCGTTGGTCAGCATATTTGCAACATGCATTAACCAAACACGCAGTTTGAAGGTGCTTTGACTGTGATGGCTTAACGTGCTTAAATGGTACAATAATATCGTGAAAAAGATGACTTGGATAAATTAGCCGTCAAACTTGAGCGTTAATAATTGTGTTCTACTGAGAGGCGTGTTTGGCCTCTCTCTTTTTTACTTTGTCTTGAAGTTTCCTGTGACTCTTGTGATATCTTCATGCACGTCCACATCAGAGAGTCATTAGGAAGGCAGTTTCCATTTAATGAACTAAAGTTTTGCTTAATTTAATATATCATCCACCAGACAGATAATATATAAAATTTGACACATTTTTTAAATGCTAAATGTAAATGCAAACAAATTATTAGCTTAAATAATAATTAAATATTTGTATATATGGCACGCAAAACAACTGATTAGCGTGTGGCCGGTTTCTTGCATGGCTAACCGGACAGGCAAGAAAGCACTTTCATTAGGTAAGTATTTAACCTAAAAGGGGCTGTATGTCAGCTTTTTAGGTGAAATGATAAAACTGGCTTTAAGTTCGGATAATATTATTTTTTACTGTCCCACAATGATCATTAATTATTTTATTGAACCAACTACATGTTTACATAAGCTAACAGGATTAGCACTATCTTACTAGCTAATAGGATTAGCACTATCTCAGAATATACTTGGGGATGAAAAATGGAGTTGGGTTGTTTTGTGGGTTGGTCCGACTTGATGTATTTTAGAAAATGGGTAAATAAAGCAAGTATAAATCAATTTCAGATTGCATGAATTTAAAATATCAATTAAACAATGAAATATAATTTTATAATTGAAATTGCCACTAAAACGATCACCTGAAGTCTCCGTTAGAATGATTATTTGAATGGGACTGATTAGTAGATTGAGATTATTATTCACATGTCTATTGGATGTTAGATCATTTTTTTTTTTTTAGAGACAATTATTAACAAGGTTAACTCTAAATTATCTTAGAGTGGAGAGATAATATAATCATCTATTTGTAAATTTAACTACTCATCATAGGATTTCAAGAGTTTGGCCTATATTGCAATTGTCTAAGATCGACCCAAATAAATGAATCACTAAGTACAAACGATCTAATCATACACATTTTTCTAGAATCATATATATCAACCAGTTTTTTATAAAAATAAATTATACAATTCACATTAGTCCTCTTTAAAAATTCAAAATAAGGAGTGCTAAAATAATTCAAATGAGATAACCGTGATAACCATTTACATATATAAACTTGTACATGAAGCAAAAGTATACCTATTGGATGCATTTTACATTAAAAAAAGGGGGTTTAATAAATATTCAAATTTTGTGTTTAAATTATGATAGTCAAATTTTGTATTTTAAGTTATGAAGCATGGAGAAGACTTCATTATGAGTATTTTTAAAGTTCAAAAAGGTTCGTACCAGATATCTAAATTCATGTTACTTATTCATGTCAGAGAATGTCAAAATAATTTTTTCACTCGGGATTAATTAGATTCATGTTTTGGGGTTTGCATGCCATTTGCTATCTATGCTTTAATGTATAAATAAAATAGAAACTACGTTTCTTGATGCAGGTCACGGCCAAAGAGTCATGTCCATGGAGCCTCTAAACTTAAATCTGATTTATAGATATAAAATTTCATATTCAAATCAGGATAAAAGATCACTTTTTCATTGACAAGATCTCTCTTTTCCATTGGAAGACGGTGTGAGAGAGGCCATTAAATAAACAAATTAAAATCCCTCCACATAATAAGCACTTGAAAATTCCAAGATAGGCAAACTATAAACCAACAGATCAGCTTGATTTTCAATAATTTCTGTAAAAAGTTCAACTCTATTTGCGTCGATTGCTTGAGGGCATCTTCAAATTAATTAACATATAAATATTTCTTTTAAATTGTTTAATTGGGTGATGAACTTTTCAAAATGCTGGCTGTTTGTTCTGGGTCTGAAAGTCACATGCAATAATCCTAATGGAATCTCTGACGTCCATTGAAATACAATATAATAATAACTCAAGCAACAAATTTCATGTGTAGTTTCAGGGAAATCGAAATTCCAGAAGGATCAGAGAACAAAGTACAATTAAAATAAAATATAAAAAAATAATATTAAATTTTATTTATTTAAACTTTGCATAAAAAAAATACGCCATTGAATCAACAGGAAAGCATAATTGGTCTCGAATAAATAAAGTGCTTCTTTGCAAAACTGCAAGATTGAATGACCGAATTAAGAAACAATATAATTGTCTAAAGTGATCTATAAGTGGGTTATTGCTTGTAAAGACCGAGAAAATTGAGATAAAAAGGAGATTTAAAGATTTTATTCCCTTCTTTAATTTCTTTTTTAATTATTTATAATTTTTTGGGCCAGATTCTCTTCTTTTATGAAGAACGCCTTACAATAAAATCCATAAAATAATAGAAATAAAGGGGGGAACCCCCAATCCAAGGTAAAAAGAAGAAAAGAGGAAAGGAGGCCTGCTTGTTGATATAACATCGCATCGACTTGCATTAATTTACATTTCCTTGAATTGAAAAGAAGGCATCTTCATCTGATGTTATGCACCTGATATATGTATAAAATTAATTGAAACGTCATTTGGATACTTTTGGGTAAATAAACTAATAAAACATATTCCATAAATGCAAAATTAACTAAAGAACAAATTAACAAGAATAAATGTTGTAAAATTTTATGTATATAGTTTAATTATAATTAGTTTGTTATAAATGTTTATCTTGGCAATAATATCGTATTTGGAAATTGCCCCTAGAACACTAGCTCCTTCAAAGGACCCAAGGGAAGAAATGGAATTTTCATCATGCTGTTCACGTGGTGAGTTCTGAAGTAGAGCATTGCGTGTTGAGGAGTGAAAACTTGAGCGAAATGAAATCAAAGCAAGGATAGGCAAATGCACAAAATGTGGACTTTTTGCAAAAATTAATTATTCGAGTGGCTCCAAAATGTAAGCCAGCAAATATAAGCTAAAAGGTGTAGGAAAGGAGTTCCAAGAAAGCTACCAAATCAAACCAGGCACTTTAAATTTTGAGCAAGACTAGGGTACCGGAACCCCCGTGTAAGTGTATTCCGGGATTGACGAAATTTTTCAGAAAAATTGTGTTAGACACGTTTTTTGAGACAGCTAGATTACTCACTTAACATAAGGTGGTGCCGGTACCCTCTTTTTGGAGAGGGTACCGGAGTGCTCACCTTAAATTTTTGGCAGATAGAGACACACAATTCAGGGCATCGGCTTTGGGCCTTCTATGTCATTAGCGTTGCACCGCCTACTTTTACGTGGTCCCTTGCCTAGTAAAGCAGCAGCTGCTATATGTCTCCATAGAAAATGCCACGTCAATTGACGTCTTTCAACTTTCTCTACGTCGTGCGCCACTCCAGCAACTTCAATCTATATAGAGGCCCCTCGGAGTCATTCCACTTCCATCAACATTAAGTTTTACTGGAGGCGAGTCTAGCTAGATCAATTCATTTGCAGATGAAGATGGATTCAAAGAAGCCATACATGGCTGTCATCCTTATACAGTCCATATACACCGGCATGTTCTTGCTTTCGAAGGCTGCCTTTGATGGGGGCATGAATACCTGCGTATTTGTCTTCTACAGACAGGCCATGGCAGCTGTCTTCTTGGCTCCTCTCGCTTTCTTCTTCGACTGGTATATGCACTAGATGGAATGTTTCTTTTCATATTTCGTCTATCATCGTCTGTGTTTAATTGCTATCGCATTTATGGCAATGGTGCTCCCAAAACCTTTCTGAAATTGTCTTCTTTTCGGCCTCAAGGAAAACAGCGCCACCGCTCCCATTCGCGATCTTCTGCAAGATTTTTCTGCTTTCCCTTTTTGGGTACGTTTGATCTTTGACAATTTGTTGAGTGAGGATTTATTCGTTTATTTATGTTTGTTCATAAAATTACAAGGTCTTGTTTCATAATTTGATCAGGATTACTTTTAGCTTGAATATATATGGGGTGGCTCTCATGTATACATCTGCAAATTTGGCAGCTGCAACTACGAACTGCCTTCCGGTCATCACCTTTCTCCTTGCCGTTCTACTCAGGTACAACTATAATTATATTTAATTTAATATCTCGTTGTTTTATGTCTTTTGTTCTCCTTTCAATTCGGATACAATTTGGACTTCGGGTGGGTTTGACATGGTTCATCCCTAAACCGGTTCGTCGAAAACCCAAGTCAGAATTAGTTTTAAGATTGTTTAAACTTGACATAACCCGTTGCGATTTATCTGAATCAAAACTGGGTCAAGCTTAGGTAGCAGCTTTTTTTTAGCCGAGTGGGGTTGGATAGGTTCTATGTTCATATTAGAGTTACGAAAGTGGGAAGTAGCAACCTTAATGTAAAACTTTTTGTTTTCTAAAAGAAATTCATAAGGGTCCAGGAGTCCTTGCGCCTTATGGGATAAATTATGTACTAGCTTCTGGTGCTCAAAGGAGGAGGGTCGGACTTTTGGTGTATACTTTGCCATTATTGGAACATTACACGATCAGTACTCCATCTCTTATTACCTCTCCGAGATGCGAAGTGTGTGCATTAGAGCTTTTCAGTGCTTATATATTATTTCCACAGGGCTCAATGGATGGGATTTACTCTCCCAAACATTGAGCTTAGGTTCGACCACTGCACCAAAATGTATGATTGATGACTCAACATTATAGTTATTTAAGAGATTATGTTCCTTTCATATGAATCATTAAAAAAATTTATATATGTTTCCTTCATTTTTCCCCTTTGAATTGGCAGCAAATGTCATTGACCAATCTTTAGAGCTGCTTGTTGGCTTAGCACCTTAGCAAATTAGTAGGAACATGTTCCATCTGATTTGATTTGCTTTCTCACAAAATATTTACAGCATATATAAAGGGATCTCTTTAATTTCCCCATTTCTTTTTCTTTCTTGGCAAAGATAGAAGCCATTAGATCATAGCTAGAAAAGAAAATTATACTAAATACGATTTTTAAAACTCTAATTCACTTTAAATAATCTCATATAAAAGTTGTTTCTCTTTCAAAATATCTCCACTTGTTTGAGTAAATTGATCATTGGCGGTTAAACTTTCAAAAAATTTTCAAGTCCCTCGATTAATCTTACAAGAATTGTGGGTGACCAACTCTATTAGAATGAATTAAAGTGAATGAAACTCCATGGATAGTTCACCGAAGAGATAATGAAACGAGTTACACGGTTTCTACCCTGTGCTCTATTCCCTAGACAAGTGCATCTAAAGTCTATCCAATCACAAACACAATGAATTGTTAGATAGACCCATATCATTCCTTATCTAGCAGCTGCGAACCTGACATATATTATACACTTGTATTTCATTTAAAGGACTCAAATAAACTACCTGCCGCAAACAACTTTTTGATAGGACCAAGATTTCTCCAAACACTACTCCCATGCTTCCACTGAACCGCGTGCCATCCTTTATTACATACAATACTAAATAAATAAATAATATTCGTGTTAGATCTTTTCTCTCTTTCTTTTTTCCGGCGAGAGAAAATGAATTAATTAATTAAAATATAAATAATGCAGGATGGAAATAGTGAGGCTGACTTCAGCTGGAATTGCAAAGATTACAGGGATGGTAATTTGCATTGGAGGCGTCTTGACAATTGCCTTGTACAGAGGTCCTTACTTAAGCCTTTTCCTTCATCACCACCTACTTGGGCACCGGAGTTTTGGTCAACAACACCCAGTTGGAGGTGAAAATTCAAGCACAACGTGGATAAAAGGCTGCTTCCTCATGCTCATGTCCAACACCTTCTTTGGTCTATGGCTCGTATTACAGGTACCCACTTGCTTTTCAATCCGCACATATTCTTCCATTGTCTTTTCCTCTCCGAGAAGACAGGAAAAGGCTGGAAAAAGGAACATCAAACTAGAATCTCTCATCGCTAGTAAAGTCTCCTTGCTTTGTTTCTTAAAATAAGATTTCATCGGCATCGCTCGCTTTACATACGGAAATCATAAACATTTCAAACGCGGCCTAAAGTAAATTAACAATATAACATGTGTTCACATAACCTTAGCCTAACTCTTTTATTTATTTATTTTTTCTAATTTTTGGTTGAAACTGAACAGGCTCGAATAATGAAAAGCTACCCTTCGAAGCTACTTTTCACCACTCTTCAGTGTTTCTTGAGTTCAGTTCAGTCCTTTTTCATTGCCATTGCCTTGGAAAGAGATCCCCTTGAGTGGAAGCTTGGATGGAATGTGAGGCTCCTCTCGGTGGTTTACTGTGTAAGCTCATAAACCCAAACCCATCAAGCCTTCTATAAATATATTGTTCCTTTTCATCTCTCATACACTGCATAGCTAGCTCCAAAATACTTGTTTTTTGGGAAAATTACGGGGCAGGATGGATTAATAATGGTTAATGGTATTCAGTGTCAAAATGTAAAATATTTACATGCAGGATTTGAAAGAAAAAAATTATGTAGTTAAGAAAATTTTATAATTTCAAACTACCCCTGTTACCCACAATTATGTACTTGTAATAGTTATAAGCGAATTTGTAATATGACTTATAATTATACAGATACATAATTATAGTTGTATAAATACCTATTTTTAATAGTTATAAATATATATATCTGTGTAGTAATATAATCATTTTGAAAATGTAAAATATTCTTAATTTAGTAATTTTTTAGACTCGGAAAGAAAATATTTTATATTTTAATCCAAAATATTACTAAAATTGTCATATTAAAAATGTGCCATATGTTTCTGAATTTTCAGCTTCACTCCTTAAACCCTTTTTCTTTTCCTGGATGGTTCCTCTACTTTCTTTGCCAAAAAAGGGGGAAAATCCAGAAAAAGAAGAAAAAAACAAAAGGTTGAAGGAGTGGAGCCTAAAATCCTGAAACGTATCACACATTTTTAATATGATTTTAGGAAAAAGTTGAGCTTTATACATAATTTAACAAACAAATATTAAAGGGAATTGATTCCCGGGTTGCATTTTCTTGGGCAGGGAATTGTTGTGACTGGTGTGACATATTATCTGCAAGCATGGGTGATCGAGAAGAAAGGTCCCGTTTTCCTGGCCACGTCTTCACCACTGGCCTTAATCTTTACAATGTTGACTAGTGCAATACTGTTGGGGGAGAGCATTACCTTAGGAAGGTAATTTAAGATCACATTAATTAAATTATTAACTTCATTTATGCCTTCTTTATATTACATTAATCATCCTGTGGTGTCCTAATTGCAGTGTTTTAGGAGGGATGTTGCTGGTCGGAGGGCTTTACAGTGTTCTGTGGGGGAAGAATCGAGAGCAGAAGATCGTTCTTCATGACATGAATTTGAACGGCGAAGCTGTGACGGAGACAGCAGATCAGTCCAAAGAAGAATTGCCGAGCAAGGACCTGCCCACAATAGTATAGTTTAATTAATCCACATGAGTTTAGTTTTTATACAAGTGACTCCCCCGCCACGGTCATGAACTAGTTTTTGGGTTCCCCCCTTGTGGGAATGGAAACTAAATGGATGAGATAGAAGAGAGTAGCCGATTAGTTTAACTGCTTGATAGAGCAGCCGTGCGCTTCTTTAATTAAACTATTCAATGGATTAAAATACAAATGATGTAATGATCTTTTGCAAGCCAAATATTTTTATTTTTATTTTATTTTTTTATTTATATTGGAACAACAATCTCCCGCTGCAATATCTGCCCAAATTTGATTTTTTTTTTCTAACTCATCTAAATAATATTGGCTTGAAATACAATGTTGGTACCCTCACTTTTAGATAACACTAGTAATTAGGGCTATTAATAGGTCAAATTTGGATTAATCAGATTAATTTGAATTCGAACACCTGTTTATATATCCAAATCTAGTTCAAAATTTTATGGGGTTTATGTCTGTATTCATATTTAATAAATAATTCAAAATCTAACGAGAAAATTTAATATAATAAGAAAATAAAATTATTTTATACTTAAATTTCTTAATTCTATTCTATTAATTATATTAGTACTTAAAATTTTTTTATTTTTTAAATTTAAGTAATTTAGTTAATACAAGTTTAAATTTATTAATATTATAAATATATAAAATATGAATTTAATAATATATATATTTAAAATTTAAATTCACATCTTTAATGGATTGAATTACTAAATTTTTTATCCAATTCATTTATTTTAAATTATAAACATTTATAACTAAATTTAATCTATCAAATATTTTAATTAAATTTAAATATTAAAATTTAAATTAAAATTAAACAAAATTTAAATTAAAATTCAACGACTGAGAGCCGTACTAGCAATTACCTCAATATCTAGATGGTAACAATGCGGAGCCGTAGTCAAAGTTGGAAACAAAATAGAATATGCTACGTGCACGCCAGATGCCACTTTAACATGGTTGCTTGAATATATGGATGAAGGCAGGGAGGCAGTGTAGGGGCCACGGCCCACACCTAAGTTCTAACCACGAATACTTGTTTAGACATTTTTAACTCTTGTAATTTACAGATTGCCCCCTCGAGAATCATTTTGTGACCTATCGAGTCACTGAATTTGTTCTTCATGAAGGAATTGCTGTCTTACGGAAATTAGAAGACGATAGTAAAAGTAGAAAAGAAAATAACTTATTTCCGAAGAAAAAACTTAAAGGGCAAACAGAATATATATATATATATATATATAATAGGCAATTGTGATTTCAACCTTTCTTTTATGATCATTGCGACTTATTATTTTTATAATAACAAATTGATTTATTTTATTTCTTCATTGTAGAATTTTGAAAATATGAATATATGATTTATTTTTGTAGAGTCATTACACTTGTATATTCTATTAAAAATTTATTTAATAAACTAAACCTGGAGTCTTAATTTTAAAATTTAATAATTATTGTTGATGTATTTTTAAAAGAAAAGTTATTACAATATATAACCTGGCCACCAAATAAAAATTTTTTCTACTCATCTGGCCTTATGTTAAACAAATATTTCATACTAAAAACTAATTTAGTAGATTGTTTTAATATCTGTTTCATCAGTATTGAAAGCTGAATGTAAAATTGATTTAATAGATATCATTCTAAGCAAGTGGGTCAGGATTCAATATCTAGTATACCTATGTTAAAGGGGCAGAACACTGCCGGAGCCTTGTTGGATTGGAGCTCAACGCTACCACTGCATCCATTGGTGATTGGTAGATAATAGTACCCTAAACTACAGAGTATGGAACATGGGTTGGCAGTGATTTCATCAGCTATAGAGACGTAAACTCACGACGCCAATTCAGATGGCAAATGGCAAGGAGGCTCTTGCATTCAGTGGCCAACAAAAACCTTGCTTCTTGCTAAAGAACTTCTTCACTTCTTGGTGGCGCAAGGTGGCAGTGAAGGTGGGATGATAAGATTCTCTCTCTCTCTCTCTCTCTCTTATCACGTCTCTCTTTTTGTGATTACATTGGAGGTCACAACTTACGTTAGAAGAGAAGAGTCAAGAGACGAACCTATGTTGTTTAAATCAACTTTGCAAATATGTACCACTTAAACAAAGTCTTAAATTTATAATAAAATTGTTTTTATTTTCAAATTTTCACAATAAATTTTTATTTTTATTGCTTATTTCATTTTAGAGTAATTGGACTTTCATCCGAAATTCAGTTTCATTAATCATTTATTTTTATTTGGGTGATTGGGAACTTATTTGTAAATTTTATTCCTCGTTATGCAAAAATTTCCTTTATCCCAAGTGGGAATTCCAAGTTCAACAATTGAAAGCCATGGCTGAAGATTCTGCAGCCCAGTCCTTTTTCAAGTCTAGCCCAATTCTTAAAATAGAGAAAGCCCAGGTCTCAGAACGCAGGAAGAGAGCACAGTTTTGCGTAAAGTAAAACAAAATAAAATAAAATAAAATTTATTGATGCTAGAGGACTTAATAATTAAAGATTTGAATTGTAGTTGATGTTTTTTTTATTATTAACTTAAAGTTGACTTCTTCTTAAAAAAAAATCAAAATATGATCATTATATTTCCTCAATTCTCAGTACTATGTGCTCTTTATATTATCCAAAAAATATAAAGCACAGTTTTGCAGAGCAATTCGTGCAAAATTTGGCAGCAAACCAGACCTGAGATAGCGGGAGCCAGTTTAGCATAATGGAAGCACCTGGTGACCGTAAGTCGGTTGACCCGAATGGAGAAAATGGAGCCGGGGTTTCAGGTTTGGACAGAAGAGCAGAAAGCAGGGCCGTCTATAGCTTATAACGAGTAAGCCCCTGCTTTAGGCGCCTAAGATTTTAACATCCAAAATTTTAGGTTTTACAATATTTTATTATTAAATAATACTGATCAACATGGATAATATGGAATCTTAAATCCATAGTTTTTGTATTATCCATGTTGATTAGTTAATTATAACTTAATCACCTTCCCATAAATCCTAATTTTTCTCCTTCATTTTTCTCACAATTAAATCTTCTATTTTCAAAATAATTATATTTCAATTTTAATATCCACTTATTTCACAACTCTCATTTGCTTTCCCTCATTTATCTCTCCAAACTCTCACCTAATATTTTAAATAGTTTTAAAAATTATTTTTAACTTTCTTTCTTCACCATCAACAATTTTCTTTATAAAATCAAATATTTTTGATTTTAATCTTATCACTTTCACTCTTTTCTCATACTGAATAACTTTAAAATCTTCATCTCTATATTCTTTGAGTGATAAGGCAATTTTTTTTTTTTTTTTGGCTGGGAGTAATATTATTCCAATATTAAAACATTCTCGTAAAATATTTTTTGTTACACTTGCTTCCATGATCCAGTTACATTGTCCTAATATTTAACTATTCTTTACATTTTATTTTAATTTATTAAATTTTTATTATTTATAAATATATTTTATTGTTTTTAATTCATAAAATTGAAATATATCAATTAGAAAATATGAATCTGATTATTCAAAACTTAAAAGAAGGAAATAATTAAAATTTTTCATATAATCTTAAAAAAGGTGCTTTTGAAAATATTGAAAATGTTCTTTATTGAAATAAAATAATAAGAAGTTAATTAAAAGTTTGATACCCCTTCTTAAGAGGACCAACTTGTAAATGAATTAGATAACTGTATTCTTAAAAATATTTATGATGTTAATGCAAATACGAGAGACTCATGACTTATTAAATTTTAAAAGTAATTTTGCATTGTTAAAAAACAATAAATTTAAAATAAGAATTTACAAGAGGGAATTTAAAATAGAGAAGCCTACCATAACAAGTAAAACTTTAGTCACTACAAGAAATAGGATGATTGCCAACGCAGGAAAAGTGTTGGTCAGGACAAAATTGGTGTTGAAAACTAGCTTTTTGAAGCATTAATTGATGCAAAAAAATATAAGTCGGCCAAGTTGCCAGACTTACAAAGGGGTTATATATATAAACCCAGCTTGTTCTTGCATGGACCAAAGCAAAAGGATGAAATAAGAAAAGGAGGAGAAGAAGACAAGGAAAGAAAGGGAAAGAAGGAAAAAGGGGAAGAAATCAAAGTAAGTTCATTTATGCCTTATGCATTTTTTATACAAATTCTTTGGGAGACTAAGCTGGGAATCCTACTATTCTCTTATTGTCATGATTCATACTTCATGGTGAGCAAATTTAATGGTTGGGAACCTAGGTGACCGAAACCCTCAAGGAGGGATTTTAAGCTTTATAAAGCTTGGGAACTCCTTGAAATTAGTTTAGGCTAGAATTTACCTTGGAAAGTAGAAGTAGATCTATGGGGGTATGATGAAGATTTGAAGAAGATTATAAGGTGCTGAATCATTGTGGGGGGGGGGGTGGGGGGAGGGCTAGAGGAAGCTATAACTCATGCATCCTTGATAACCTTTGAGAGGAAAAGATACAAGATGTTACAACATGAGAAACTTGATGCTTCAGTTTCATAAATATTGAAATTTGGTGAGGTTGAGGGGCTGGAAAACAAAGTGAAAAAATTTGGTGAGGTTGAGGGGCTGGAAACAAAATGAAAACAGGAGACAAAGCATGGGGCGGAATTTGGAAACAGGAGAAATAAATTTGGTTCAAGAAAAATTTGAAGAAAATCAAATTAGAATGAAAAAGCCAGAAAGAAAGAAGCTGCAAAAATTTTCTGCAGAGAAAGCAGCTTGGCCCTAAAATGAGTTTAATCTAAGGTTAACAGGTCCTTTTAAAGGGTATACCAAACCAATTTAGGAATAAGATCAGAAAAAAGGTATCAAACAAGAGCCAATTGCAATTATACAATCTAAAACTTAACTAAGATGGAAGCTGGAATTTTCCAGTAGGAAAATTTCAGCTTTGAGGGGCTGCTTTAGAGAGGGAAATGACCTCCATAAGGGCACAAAATTAAGTAGTTAGAATGGTCAAATGAATTTAA